GTGAAAAGAAAGATTCCTGCCCCCTCCCAGGAAAAACAGGAACCATGTCCTTGTTCTCCGAGTGTAATTTATAGTTAAAAAAAAACAACATAATTTCACTTTATGATATTCACCACAATATGTGACTTATCACTTCTCTATTTTATGCGGAACAAATAACGTATCAAAAAGAGAAAAAGTAATAAAAAAAAACGCTCATACCAGGTAACGGTAATATTGAAGAATTCTCGTATAAAATGAACATTATTGGGGATTTCGTTTGTCATAGCAATGAATTCTTGTCGTCGCCATGTTTCACTTTGGCAGTGGGAGTTGCCGGTAAAGTTGAGCATTAATTCTATGAATTGGTTTCAGCTTCAGATCTGGTCTAGTCATTATATTGTCCCTAATATAGTAGTATATATATCAGCCATAGTATGAGTCATCCTGTAGAAATGTTATTACCATAGTTTCATCATTATTTCAGTTAATTTTTTCTAATATTCCATTTATCCCTTAGTTTTTCAGCATAGTAAAACCTGTGAATGAAGAAATTTTTGGAAAATAAAAAAACTAGTCTTTATAGACACGATGCCATTGTTTGTTTGTTTCTTTTTGATCAAAGCCACAATGAGCTATCTGTTGTGCCCGCCGCGAAGAATCGAACCCCAGATTTTAGTGTTGTAAGTTCGTAAATTTACCGCTGTGTCACCGAGGGGTACGATGCCTGTGCGTAGAGTTTTTAACAATTAGTTACATTACTGGTCAATAGATGGCAACGGTAGATGTCATGCTATACAGTATTATAACTTGGAAAATACAATGTTTTCGAATTTAGCAGTTACGGAAAGCCATTTCCAGCATAACTCATTTATACTTTCATTTCCAGTTCTTTTTATTTTCCTCTTTCTTCCACCTAATCATGTAGTCTTTCAACACTTCCGCTGTTTTTTCCAGGATATTTTGACACTCCCAATCTCTTCGGCAACTTTTCTGGTACATTTACTCGTTTCAAACATTTTCATAGCAAATATACCTTTGGCCAGGTGTCAGTGTCTGCATAGGTTCATTACAAGCAGCCAACAAACTGGTCATTTAGGGTAGTAGTTATACATAGTTCAATTAATTGGTGATATAAATATAGTTCATACCAAAACAGTTGTTGTTCAGGTAATTGGTGATATAAATATAGTTCATACCGAAACAGTTGTTGTTCAGGTAATTGGTGATATAAATATAGTTCATACCGAAACAGTTGTTGTTCAGGTAATTGGTGATATAAATATAGTTCGTACCGAAACAGTTGTTGTTCAAGTAATTGGTGATATAAATATAGTTCATATCGAAATAGTTGTTGTTCAAATAATTGGTGATATAAATAGCATCTCGAGCAATTTGACACTGTGTCTGTCCACCTTAGAGAGAAACGCAGTGGTGTAACTACAAAAAATAAAAAAAATCTCCCCCATGCATAACAAGTAATCGGGCCCCTACATTTATTTCTTTATAACTGTATTCATGATTCGGGCCTTTTATTGGTTCGCCATCTTCCGCAATTGCGGGGGCAAACTTACGCCTCTGGAGAGGTGAGCTCATTTCAAGGTAGTTGTACAGTTTGACGTGAGTTACCACCACTGGAGAGGTGAGCTCATCTCAAGGTAGTTGTACAGTTTGACGTGAGTTACCACCACTGGAGAGGTGAGCTCATCTCAAGGTAGTTGTACAGTTTGACGTGAGTTACCACCACTGGAGAGGTGAGCTCACCTCAAGGTAGTTGTACAGTTTGACGTGAGTTACCACCACTGGAGAGGTGAGCTCGATCTCAAGGTAGTTGTACAGTTTGACGTGAGTTACCACTTCTTTCCCTTGCAAACTTTTTTATTACAAATGTTGGTGACGTACGCACTGTTGCATTCTGGTATACCGCACTTCAACGTTATTGTCTGAACTTGATTGGCAAACGGAAGCTATTTTTACCTCATACAATGCAGACGCCGCTCAAGAATGATAGCTTGACACTTTATACTATAATTGTTTATAAGCATTTTGTTTCTTTGTTAACTTGTGTGTTTCTTTCCTTCGCTGTACCATTTCGGTTTATTCTCTGCTTAACATTTCCGGAATCTACGTTTTGCGGATACTTTTATAATTATCTGTTGGAAATCAACGGACCCTAAGTAAATACCGCATTGAAATTGTGGTCGAAAGTTTCTGAAATAAATGTGGAGGAAAAATCTTCGATATTTTGTACTTTTATACACATTTCTGGTAAACCCCAAAAGCCATGCCCCAATTTTTCTAATACGCCCCTTAAAATAAACCCTTTTCAGAATCTTTTTTATCCAGGCAATTCTACAATTTTTGGGTGGGGGTGCCATATGGAACTCTTCCCCAATTCTCTTCCATTACAATATCACTTTAATGTTTACTGACAATGTACTTTTTACGTAAAAAGTCATTACTTCTACAGCCAGAGGTGTAGGGGGGCAAATTAAAATTGGGAGGGGGCCCAAGGTTTATTTGACTGAGCGAAGCGAGGAAATGTGCGCCATAGCCACATCTATTACAACCGGTGTCCAGAGATTGCCTTAGGGCCCTGGATTAAATTTTATGCGTTTTCCTGCTCTTCCTGAGCGTAATTATCCTAATTCCAATGGATTTTTACTGGGACAGATTGAAAAGTGGGAGGCGCTCCCCCCCCCCTCTCGCTTCCTACGCCATTGATAGCAATTCCTGTGGCCAGGCATGGCCAGATGGTTAGGGTGCTTCACTCGCAATCTGAGAGTCGCGGGTTCGAATCCCTGTCCTACCAAACATGCGCGCCTTTTTCAGCCGTGTGGATGTTATAAAGTGACAGTCAATCACACTATTCGTTGATAAAACAGTAGCCCAAGAGTTGGCGGTGGGTGGAGATGATTAGCTGCCTTCACTCTAGTCTTTGACTGCTAAATTAGGGACGGCTAGCGCAGATAGCCCTCGTGTAGCTTGCGCGAAATTCAAACCAAACAAAGCAATCCTTTTAATGGTTGGAGACGGCTTGATTGGGTAATGAAGAAAAACTTTAATATAAGTTTAACACAACAGCAAATGTACAACGTTTCGACAAGGTTTTGTCATCATCAAAGCAATACTTTGTTAGAGAATATCAGGTGCATGACATAACCCAATAAATACTTTGTCAGAGAATATCAGGTGCATGACGTAACCCAATAAATACTTTGTCAGAGAATATCAGGTGCATGACATAACCCAATAAATACTTTGTTAGAGAATATCAGGTGCATGACATAACCCAATAAATACTTTGTCAGAGAATATCAGGTGCATGACATAACCCAATAAATACTTTGTCAGAGAATATCAGGTGCATGACATAATCCAATAAAAGTAATTATCATGCTTCAGTGTCTTATGAATATTTTATCTTTTCAAATCACAAAATCTAGCCTAAATTTATTTCTTCCAAAATATATCAAAAAATTAACTTCAAACGACCATCAAAACGAATATTTTTATTGTTGTTGTTTTTTCATGACTGGTTCCTTCCAACAAATAAATTAAATCTTGCCTTAGATTGTCTTCACATCCATGCTAGCAGTCCCTTCCGTTGGGTCACATATAAGTTAACATACCCTCAACGCTAAGTTTTGGGACTCGATTCCCCGCGCTGAACAGGTCATTGTGTATCTTCAGCCTAAAAAATAGGTAAGCAATACATTGTTAACAAGACCGACTACTTCAGTCAGTAGAGTATAAGACTCTTAATCTCAGCGTCGTGGAATCGAGCCCCCAAGTTGGGCAAAGAACTTTGTGTAGTAGCTCAGCGGTAAGTCTGAAGATTTATAACACTAAAATCCAAGTTTCGATACCTGTGATGGGACGGTACAGATAGACCATTGTGTAGCTTTGTGCTTAATAACAAGCAAACTAATGCAGTAGCTGCCCCCAGTAGCACAGCGGTATGTCTGCAGTCTTACAACGCTAGAAATCGGGTTTTGATACCCGTGATGGGCAAAGCACCGATAGCCCAAACAAACAATGTAGTAGCTAAAAGCTGTCGGGGATTTCAGTATTCGATTGCCTAGAACCCTCGAGACGCCACAACGTGCACGGTGATGTTCATGTGATCCTGTAGTTACCCCCTGCCAACAGTAGTCCTTTGTGCCCCAGTACACGTTATTGTTTATCTAATCGCAATGTTATTATCTATGAATTACTTCTACTGTTTACAGGACTTGATAAATAATATAAATTTACATTTATGTACAGCAGAGACAGCTGGTATGGGTATTAAAAACTTTAATTAAAATAAAGTACAAGGACAACGTTTCGACATTCTGAGGTCATCTTTAGGTTAAAACAAAGCCAGTTTCAAACTGACCGTTACTGGGCACATGTCTTAGGGTAACGGTCTTTGTTTTAACCTGATGATGACTTAAGAAGGTCAAAACGTTGTTCTTGTACAATATTTAATAAGTTTTTAATACCCACACCAGACGTCTCTGCTATACATTTTTACATCAAGTTAGGTTTTTGTCATCATGAAATTCACACTTAATTAACTGCGATCTCCGTGTAACATCGTCAGTATTAAATAACGGTATTTTAACTGCGAGAGCTACAGATGTGTCTGTAAAATGTTATTTTAACTGCGAGAGCTACAGATGTGTCTGTAAAACAAAGAGAAAACTGCTTCTGTAATAATGAAGTTAAAAAACCGGAAAAGAAGTAGAGGTACTGAGATCTATAACGTGAAGGAAGGACAATAACATAAAACCAAATATGCTCACTAAATACACTGAATAGTTGATTTTAAAATCGCAAGGTTTCTCATATTTAGAACAGCGCCAAAACAGAAAAGGAAAACACGTCAAAATTGAAAAAAAAAAGAAAAAATGTAAATCAAGCTTGCACAGTAAATATATATATATGTATATATATACGTGGAATATGTTGTTATTATCCAGAAAGGAAAACGCCTACGTTTTATATCTTGGATCACGTGAAAAGTGTGTAAACTCGGCTCTCATACTGAGGAAAGATTGCCTTGAGCAAGGTCAGACGTTTGTAATATACTTTCATCATTTCGTTTTGGTCTTGACGATACTTTCCTCATTTCGTTTCGCCTGTTTCACACGTTTATTGCAAACTCATTGTGGCTAAAGAGTTGAAGTTGAAGTGACGAGCCAGTATCTTCATTGTTGGTTGTAAGTACATAGAACTAAGATTAGCGCTTATTTACGGGGCTAATTACTGAATTACTCGCTGCTAACAATATTATAACACTAATTTAGTTTATGTAGTGTAGTCCCCCATAAGTTTCCGGAAACTTACAAAGCTAAAATCCGGAGTTTGATTCTACACGGTGGACAGTACACAGATTACCTATTGTGTAGGTTTGCGCTAAAAAACCTAAAATCCGGAGTTTGATTCCCCACGGCGGACAGTACACAGATTACCTATTGTGTAAAGGGAAAACGTAAGCAAATATGAAAAGTGTTAAAGAGGACATCGACACGTTTTTTTTTCTTTAAAGCCAAGTGACTGTAAGAAGGAAAAACATCATCGATAAGAATGGAGATTATTTGATTATTGATTCCTATCAATGCTATAAGTGTGGCTACTACTAGTTTGGCCGCCAGTTTTGATTTCATTCCTTTAAGTCGCACGCTGAATCCTTTTTCCCCCCTTTTTTGGTTGCATCATGTTTTCACACGTAAGGTGTTTTTTATTAGATTAATTTATTCTTATTCTGCCTAAAATAATTTCAGGTTTCCCGGCTATTGAGGATTCCCTCTTGTTTTTAGTCTAAAACGAATTATTTCTAGTTTGAATCAATGCGCTTCAAATAAAACTCCTTTTAAATAAAACACACGTTCTTTGAAGATTTAATCCAACAATATTTAGTTATAAGATGTCTGGAAACTGTTAAAAAATATTCTGTTCAGACTGATTTCGTGCAAAGTTCCAAACGTAAGATTTTAAATGGAACTAGCAAGAACATAGTCTGAAATCTATCGATGAACATGTCTGAAGATATATATGCAGACATGAGTCTGAAAGTCATGTAAGTGTATCATATATTTAGTTGTTAAAGTGTAACATACGTTAATTTCTTGGAATTTGCAGCTATTCCAGGTATGAACATAAATAAACACCTTTTAAACCTTTATGGAATTTGCAGCTATTCCAGGTATGAACATAAGTAAACACCTTTTAAACCTTGATGGAATTTGCAGCTATTCCAGGAATGAACAAAAATAAACACCTTTTAAACCTTTATGGAATTTGCAGCTATTCCAGGTATGAACAAAAATAAACACCTTTTAAACCTTTATGGAATTTGCAGCTATTCCAGGTATGAACACAAGTAAACACCTTTTAAACCTTTATGGAATTTGCAGCTATTCCAGGTATGAACACAAGTAAACACCTTTTAAACCTTTATGGAATTTGCAGCTATTCCAGTTATGAACATAAATAAACACCTTTTAAACCTAAATATTTATATGATGAATGTTTGTTCCAACCCCAAAATATCTAACGCTATGATTCTAGTGTTCTCTTCAGTGTCCATTTTATGT